AGGTTCTTTTTCATGTTCGGAAGGAGAGGGTGAGGTGAGTGGTGAGACTCGATATCACAAAATTCTACACACTGTACCTTTAACCTCGCCTACAAAGAAAATCAAGCACATCAAAGTGGAGGATCCAAACCTTGGAGGAAGCGCAGCCACTTGGGGAGGATGTCACTCGCTTTGGTCTGGATCAAGACCTTCCTGCTGTACAGAGCCACGCTGGAGCCCATCTCCCTGCTCACGTCAAACATGCTCGGCTTCTGTTGGTAAATACAATCTTTTATCAAACCTTTGATATACATCAAACTTGAATTTAATACATTTCTGTCTGGAGAGAGAAGAGCGTAAATTAATGAATCGAGGGGTTTGTTCAACCGGACCCAGGCCTTGAAGTTTACTGGTTTGATTCCCTAATGTAAGGCTTCCTCTGAGCTTGGCAGTGAGAGTAACAGAACATGTGCTGAGCTTCTCACCGCATCAGGAACATAGAAGATGCTTCGGATGTTGAGCGGTGCATCGGCACGGTAGTGCAGCGTGTAGCGGGGCTTGTCGTAGGCCTGGGCGATGTAGCGGTAGAACTCCTCATGCTGCCAGTCACTGATCTCCTTCGGCTCCATCATCCACAAGGCCTGCAGGGAGACGGAGGTCAAATAATGGTTAGCATTTTATTACAATGAAAACTTTCAGCTCAGACTAATTTTTACATGTTTGCTAATGTAAAATCTTCATTCTCAGGGCATCCACCTCAGATGGAATTGTTAAAACATTTTACCTCTATAGGGACAATGTGTTCAGTTAGAGAATCTCATTTTATAATTATCTACTAATATGTAGAGATCAAGTTAACAAGACCACAGCCTCAATTCACCCAAAATCTTCCCTTCACATCAAGTTTTTTCTTTCCATAAATACTCTTCTGTTGTGTTTTTAAAGAAAACATTAGTAATACCTGCAGAGTGTTGAGCCGACGTCCATTCAGGAAAATGGGGAAACTGACAAAGTTGCTGTACTTTGTTACAACCTCTGAAAGAAATACAACAGGTCATCGTCATGTGGAGTGATCCATTAATGAATGTGATCTCTCTGAAGAAGCCTCAGCAGTTTTACCTTTAACTCTGTCCTCAGAGGAAAACTCCTTGCAGTCGTCCTTGAGGTGCAGCGTGATCTTTGTTCCCTGTTGAACACCACCAGCTTCAGCAATCTCAAAAACTCCAGAGCTGGCAGAGACAATGACAGAGAACATGTGAGGATCATCAGGATCACAGCTACATGAACACATTCCTTTTACTGTAAAACAGAATCACACCCACGAACTGAAACAAAATGCTTCCTCGTATTGCTCTCACCCGTCTGATGACCACTTGTACCCAGGTGCATCGGGCTCAGCTGAGCGCGAGTAAACGTCCACATGGTCGGCCACCATGAAGGCAGAGTAGAATCCAACCCCGAACTGACCGATGATGGAGCTGCTGGCCTCCGCCTGGTTCTGCAGAGCGTCCAGAAATGCCTGTAATAAATAGAGGAGATGATTATTTTGACAGAGAGTGAGAACAGCAAGAAACATCATATACACACGTTTGAACAAGCTGTTTACTTACTGAACAAATGAGATGCATTTACATGAATTAATAAACAACGAGTAATAATGAGTCACCTTTGAACCGGAGCGAGCGATGGTCCCCAGGTTGGCCACCAGCTCCTCTTGGTTCATCCCCACTCCAGTGTCCTGTTGGGACAGAAATTCCTCAGTCAGTCATAGTCATTGTAGATTGTAGTACCATATTTATCCACCAGGTGGCAATCCGGGTCAAAACCAGACCAGGAAACAAACATTAAGAAACAACCTGTGATGATTCAGATATATTTCATTGAAAAGAATTCGGTGGGAGCATCTATGTGGTTTTACTGGAATACATTTGTAAAATTAGCTGTTGCAGGCCAACAATGGAACTCATCCCCACACTGAGTGAAGAAGAGTGGAAACAAAACCAGATCCCATGATCGTATCATTTATTTCCTGCAGTGGGAAACTGTGATATTGTTGTATTCACATAACAACATGTGACCAACAACACACAGAGCTCATCAAAGTGAACAGAGATTCACGCAGGCTGCACAGACGGGGCTGTACCTGGATGGTGAAGGTGCCCTTGGCAGCGTCGGTCTGCAGGTGGATCTCCATGGGAGCCGTTTCACCTCCTGCTGTCATCAGTTTGTGACGCAGTTTTTCTAACGCATCACTACCGTTCGAGATCAGCTCCCTGATGAACACCTGGTGGGACGAGAAGGCAGCAGTTATATTTAATAATAATTTAATAATAATCTCACGTCGGCGTAGCTAAGTGGTTCTCCAATACACACTCTCTTACCTCTTTCTCTGAGTACAGGGACCTGGCAACAATGTCCAGCAGCTTTTTTGTTTCAGCCTGAAACTCATGCTTGGAGGATCCGCCTGGAAAAATCAGGGGTAAAACAACATTTTAGATCATGAACCAAACAGATGATTAGCGATGAGGTATCGTATTCAAGAATGATTTGAACTCCAGGTGTTCCAGCACCTTGAACAGACTCTGTGTCACTGATGATGGTGTGGAGGGGCTCCTCCTCCGGCTCTTTCTCTGCCTCCTGGGTGCTGTAGTAAGACTGCTGGCCGACACCGAGGCCGGAACGCTGAGCGCTCCACAGTCTGGCCTGACTGCTCCAGCTCTGCTGCTGCGTGACCCGCAAGTCTGATGACAGGAGGAACAAGGGAGTGGGGAGGTCAGACAACATCTCGTGGATTCACTTTGTCCTGATGGTGCCATGCAGAGCGCTCACTGATGAGGGTCTTTATTTAAATGAACTCAGGTTCATCCCCATGGACCTCATCGTAAGACTTTTACACAAAGTCTGGAGGAGTGCTGGACATGTGTCTGCTAAAAAGACTGACTACAGGAAACCACGACTTATTTCTGACTTGAAAACGTTTAATAGCTGACGTAGTTTTCTGTTTTGAGGAAACTGGAATCAGTGGGACTCACAGAGCCCGTTGTGACATCACAGCACAGAAACCTTTCTTCCGTTAATTAAACGTTTTGGGCGATAAAATAAATGAGTTCAGTCCATAGAGTTTGAGTTTTAAATGACCGTGTAATAACTTTGTATTTTGAGCGTATTGCTGATTTAAATCCACCTGCAGATGTCTCGTACGGATCCGACTGACAGACCGGCTCATAGTGTTCAACTACCGGCCGGTAAATTCAACATTTCGGCCAAATCTCACCTTGTGGCTCTGCTCGGCTAACGATGCTAACAAACATTAGCTCACCTGCGGACAAGGAGCGCGAGGCGGTTCTACTGTTCAGGCCTCGCGTGCACGTCGTTAGGCGCGTGCTGGTCCCCCGGGAGGAACCGAGCGCGAACCGAGCCAGCGCGAGACACCGGGACATGAGGACGGCGGTGGGACAGACGAGAGACGCGAAGACAGATTGACCTGCACACAGGTTGACCCGCAGAGACACACACACACGCTGAACGAGAAGACACAGTCAGGACCCCGCGCCTCGTGATGACGTCGGCATGGTGCGTCTCTGCGCTGCCTGATGAGAAGTGGGCGTCACTCAATCGATTAGAATCAGATTCGGTGGAAAATCGAACCATTTAATTTCAGTGGAATTGATTAAAATCACTGCTAGTTTTGTCCGCGCACGTTTAGAGTTAGTGCTAATTCCGTTCATGATTTAATTCGTTTTCATTTCTTTATTAAACCGTCAAGGTCAAACGGTGATCGTTTTACATAAAGTCAGATTAACAAACGCAAATGTTTAAAAATGATGTGACTGAGTTTATGTTTATGGTGAGTGCAGCTTAAAACCTGTTTGCAACTGGAATTTAAATCAGCAGAGCCGACACGTCTTCCCCTCGTGAATCCACTTTTAAATTCACTAGATCCATTTATTATTCTGATCTGCAACAAACTGCACACACGCAGATAAATGGCAGTCCCCTTAAAGTGCCGGCTTTTTCTCATCAAGATCCATTCATTATTCTCTGACAAATCGAGTGAGATGTTTGAAAAACAATCTCACAATGTTTTAGAAAGTCATTTTCCATCGGATACAGATCTGCATTCCGCATCCCTCCATTAAGATTTTAGGTAGTTAGTCCAGGAATTATTGGATAATCTTGCTTACAATCACACCGACAGGTGAAAACTCCTATGGCTGAGGTAATAATATGGTACTCTACTGGATAATCAATTAATCATTATATCAATCTTCAAGTAAAATCCAAGGAATTGATGGTCCCAGCTTCTCAAACAATAGTTTTTCTCTATTTTACTAAACTAAAGCTCTGTTTTATAGATCAACTGATTAATAATGAAAGCAATCAGGAGTTGACTGATAATAATCAATAATGCTAATGATGACCCAGACAGTTTTCTACAAACATAAAAAATAGACTTAGAATTAGTCTGTGGCACACAGGTTTATTTAACAATATGGTATATAAGTACGAAATGAGCCATTTGAACCAGTTTGTACAGTGATTTCATTCTTATTTTCTGCATATTTACAGTACTGTCTAGCTGCATGATTTACATTAGGGAACAGTTCATCAATTCAAGTTTAATGCAAGAGAGACAATGATGCACAAAACTCTCTCTGAATACAAATCAGCAGTCAAACAAATTAATTTCCCACCACAGGCAAAAGAGGTTCAGTACTTAATGAGAATTTCTTTATACTGAAGGAGAGACAAAGCAATTTCTTTTAAATATCTGCAAGACAAATACTGGGCCCGGGCCAGTAAACTGAACATTCTGGCACCTGTGAACATTACAAGCTTCAATGCAAGTTTTTCTTACACCTGCATGTTGTGTTTGGGTGTGTGCAATAGTTCCTAGATCTATACAAATACGTTAATCTCCCATAGACTCTGCAAACAGGAAAGAAATTAAGGCTTTCCCAAAGGCAGTCCTTTTGAAAAATGGCATATTAGAATAAATTAGCCAGGAACAAGAGAAATTGAGCAAGAGGTGAAACCTGGCAAAAAATTCCCCAGGCAAATAATTTTACAGTCTTCTCAACACAAATACGATATTAATTTGCAAAGGTACAAAATAAAAAAAGAATAATAAATTGAAATATTTTTTGTTTTGAGAAGTTTTGTTAAAAAAGTCAATACCAGAGCATAACAAATGAAAAACAAATTAAAACAACACAAAGACCAGGGCAAATTCTTGCATGGCTGGTCTGGAACCAAAAATATATTCTTTGTGTCTTTGTTGTCTTCTTTTCAACAGCAACTATTAAATCACTCTGTGTTGGAAGAAAAAGCAGTCCCTTGGTTTCAGGAAAGTTCACAGTCCGTAGGCCTCATATGACTCATTAGTTTGTTTTTTTTCGCTTTTTACATCAGCAAGTACAAAATCTTCTCAGCTGAAAACAGAACAAGGCCTTCTGTCATGAAATGCTACAATCCTTCAACAAATTTCTCCAACGTGTCTCCCGTCGTGTCACCCACCATACCCATGTCATTACTTAACCCCCCTCGATTTGGTGTGTTAAGCTGCGGCAGCATGGCACTCTGCTCTGGTGTTCCCATGTGTCCCTGCTCCATGGAGCCTGACATGGGGCCTCCAAGGCTGGGGTGAGGAGAACTGGAGTGGAGGGCGCCGTGCTGGGGCGAAGGCTGCGGCTGTATTCGTGGGGATGGACTGGAATGCGGGGGCTGCTGCGAAGGTGGACGGGGCGACTGCACTGGGGCTGGGGAGCGGACTTGGTTTCCTAATGAGTTTGCCATTACTTGGCCAGGTAGATGAGCTCCTCCCTGGGCTTGGCCTTGGAGCATGTGTGATTGAGGACTCATCGAGTTTGCCTGCGCTGGAGAACCCATCTGCTGCTTCAACATCTGCTGTTGCTGTTGAAGCATGCGCTGCTGGAGGAGATTCTGAGCCCCATCCATGCCCATGCCAGGTTGGCCCATTTGGGATGTGGGAGGGAGCTGGCCCATGGGGCCCCCACCTCCTTGCATAGCCATTTGCTGCATACGAAGCTGGGAGTAGCTAGCTGGCCCTGACTGCTGCTGAGGGAACTGACTATGGCTCTGAGGCATTCCTCCCTGCTGCTGCTGTGCCTGCTGCTGCTGTGCCTGCTGCTGCTGCTGCGCCTGCTGCATCCGGAGCAGCTGTTGTCTACGGTACAGCTGGGGATTGCCATTTTGAGCAGCGTTCATCATCTGACCTTGGGGGCCCATGGGTGCCATGTTTTGGGGCCCTACTTGCTGAGGAGGCTGCTGCTGGGGTGCCATCACTGGCCTCTGCACCTGGTTTGCCATGGCTGCCATGGCCTGCATTCCTGCCTGAGACCCTAGCATGGCCTGAGGGTTCTGCTGCTGCATCTGCTGCTGTGGCGGGTTGGCCTGGTACTTCGCTGTCCTTTGTTTAATGAATGCGGCCATGAGTTGGGGGTTAGACTTGAGGATGTTGAGAACCTGCTGTTGCTGCTGAGGGGAGCTGGGAGATTTGAGGGTTCGCAGCAAGTCCTGCAGGGCACTTGGAGCAATGTTTCCAGGCATTCCCCGGGGCATGTTTTGCTGCTGTGGTGTCATGCCTTGCTGTGAGGGCCCTTGGGGAGGCATGATCCCAGGCATTTGGAGACCCTGTTGCTGAGGCATTATGGGTCTCTGCATCAGCTGGCCCTGCTGGGGCATAGGAGTTCCCTGAGCCTGCTGAGAGGCCATGGGGCCTTGTTGAGGAGGGACCTGTGACGGATGACCCTGGGGATTCTGCATGGGATTTTGCATGGGATTCTGCATTCCTGGACCCCACTGGCCCTGCTGCATAGCCTGCATCACCTGAGGACCCCGCGGACCCTGCATCATCTGCATCTGGCCCTGTATCGGCCCCATCATTCGTGGGTGGTTCATGGGCATCCCATTCATGGCATAATTCTGCTGCTGCTGCTGCTGTTGTTGTTGTTGTTGCTGCTGCTGCTGTTGATGCTGATGCTGCTGCTGCTGATGATGATGCTGCTGCTGCTGCTGCTGCTGCTGATGCTGCTGCTGCTGCTGCTGCTTTGCCTTGGCTACCATCTCAATTTGTTTGGCCACCTTCAGGGCTGCCAGCAGTGGTTGCTGCTGCTGCTGCGGTGGCTGAGGCTGCTGTTGGTGTGGCATGTTAGGCAGCGGTGACTGCTGCTGATGCAGAGGCGATGACTGAGGTCCTGGTTTGCCCTGTGGGACTGGTGTTGGGGGCTGGCTGATGCGGCCGTTGTTGGGAAAGACTTGGGCAATATTGGGAGGGTTTGGTGGCTGATGTTGGGGCTGGTTGGGCATGGGCTGAGGCGTCTGGGGTGTACTAGGCTGCTGAATAGAGTTTGGTGTGTCAGGGGCTGCTGAGGTAGGTGGAGATGGCAGGGGCATACCCCTTCCAGCCATGGTGGCCATTCTGCGGCGCATCATTTGAGCCTGATGGAGCCTATGCTGCAGCTGCTGCTGACGGAGTTTGTGCTTGATGTTGAGACAGAAAGGAACAGGACATTTGTTCTCCTGACAGTGCTTGGCGTGATAACAACATAAAGCAATGAGCTGCTTGCAGACAGGGCAGCCACCATTTGTCTTGCGCTTGCAGCCCTTGGTGTGTTGAACCACCCTCTTCATCTTCTGGCATGAAGGCAGAGAGCAGTTTGCGTTGCGGCATTGACAGGCATGGACCAGGGATTGGATGCAGCGCTGGATGCTGAGACGCCGGCTCTCCTGCGGGCTCTTGGAGGCCTCTCCACCCTGACTGTTGCTGTCGTCGTCTAAACCCAAGCCCCACTTCACCATCTGGTGCTCATGGCCCTTAATGTTGTAGCAGTTAATGCATAGGTCGTAGTCCTGGTGAGAAATAAGGAAGACAACATTAAGGTTATGTTAAGATTTAAATGAATTCAAAATTGATAGATGTCATTTTGAAACATTTCTGTGCTATGCCACTTTTCCTACCTCGCAGACGGTGCAGTGCCAGCGAGTCTCCACATGGTGCTTGCATTCATTGCAAGTGTACACAAAGCGGTCCTGGCCCTGGTTATGCAGCTCCACCAACATGCACATTGTACTCCATTTGCATCTTCTCAGAGAACTGAACTCCCAGTGCTTGTCCCTTGCTAATGTCAGAAAGGCATCACGGCCATCCATTAGGTCACAGGTCAATAGCGGGTCGGGGTCCATTATGGGTGGCAGGGTGTTAATGACTGGCCCAGCATGGAGGTGGATGACAAAAAATACCTGGTAGAAAAAGGAGAGGAGACGAAAGGTGTGAAGACATACAAAATGTAAGTTCCCAACTCTCAGTCCGTCCTATATTGGAAATATCAAAAGAGATAAATAAAATCTGTTATAGTTGCTTGATTGGTTTTCTACCTCCTTGTGTTTCTCCATCGTGGCGTAGAGCTTCTGGGACAGATCATTAGCTACATTCGGCATCCCAGGCTTCTTCTTATTGGCTCGGCTGACGCTGCTCTTGTTTTTGTTGGTTTTCTTGTTATTCTTCTTTTTGGCATTCTTGCTGTCAGTGTGGGTTCCCTTGAAATAGATGGACAAGAACGTTAAAACAAACAGATGTTGCACAACAGGCAAGATGAGGTTATGCCATTAAGTTGAGTGGTTATACAATGCCTGAGTGGCTACTGAAAGCTTTTATATAATATGAACTTGAGGATAATAAAATCGAGGGTGAGACAGAAGGCCTAAGTGCCAGGCTGCTGATTTGAGCATAACAACAGCGTTCTAAACACTCAGAGGCAACTATCCAACTAACTCACCTCTGTTGTCTCACAGGAGGCAGTGTTCTCCTCCTTCTTCCTCTCCTCCTCCTCTTGCTCCAGCTCCTTGATGCTCTCCTCAAGAACATTAGGCCAAAAGTCACCCTCAAAATACGGCAACTCATTGGCACTGGCCAGTCTGTCCTCTGTTGCCTGTTTGAAAATGTCCTGTACACAGACACACAAGATGCAATCAGGTGACATAGTAACAAGGTTCCTAATGAGGACATTAAAATCACTGATGTATTCATTGCTTTTTTCTCATTTAAAATAGAAAGAAAACCGAAAAACCTACACAAGATATAAAAGTAATATAAATCTGAAATTAGTATAAATATTAGCCCAAAATATGTATCTATCTGTTCTCGAAAATGGTCAGAATAGTAGTTTTATGGAACCAAGATTGTCACGGAATGATACTGAACACAAGGGGGAGCCCCTCTAATTTTGCACACTTGTGAAATAACAGTAGTTCTATGATAAATTCACATTTTTCTTGTCAGAAAGGAGACAAAGAGTAAATCTGACTGTAAAAACAGTTTGAATCCCTGTCAGTCTAATTTTTTGTTAGAAATTATTTAAAAAAAGCTTCATATCTGTTCTCAGGACAGATCATGTTGAATTTGACTGATTAGGAGCCTTGTCCAAAATAATTACATGAATACACAGTGAACCAGAATAATAAAGTGAATACAAAGTTAACACCAGTAAATAGCATTGATCAGGATAACACCATATACTTAATATTAAACAAAAATTATTAGCCAATGTGAAATTATAATAAGAACCTACTTTACTCTATATAACAAATTTTGATTTTGCTCACTGCACAGTAAAAACTGTGTTAATTACAGCTGATGACATGTTAAAAAACGGAATATTACTACTATTTTGTGAATTTTCTCACCTTGTAATCATGTAGGATCCTCTCAGCGAACGCCTTGTCCAGCATCTTTCTGTACCACTCTTGAAGCCTCTTGGGTTTAGGGATCTTCTGGTCCAGAGGGTGGCAGTGAAAAATGTAGTCATCTCCCTCACTGGGTGGGCAGGCCCAGATGTGACCCATCACATACCTGACCAAGACATATATTATCAGCACTTACACGAATGATACATTATTTAACACATTTATAACAAATGGAAAAGATGTCAGAAATACTGATGTTACTCTTCACCCACCCCAGTTTCTTCACATACTCCAGGTAGCCTATTAAGATCTCGTGGTACACCGCAGTCCTTAGCAAACGTGGTTTGAAGAAGTGAATACTGTCAAGGTATGATATGTAAACCCGTCTGCAATTCAAACAAGAAAAATTGGATTCATGATTAATGCACTCAAAATAAAGCACAAAAAACAAAGTTAACATAGGAGAAATGCACATGACAGCATTACTCTTTGCTGTAGTTTTACCTGGTATTTGGAAAGGGGCACTCTGAGCCGTACTCCTGGACGTGCATGCCGAAGAAACAAACGTCCACCCCGTCTATTTCCTCAAATGCGAAAAGTGCTTTGGTTCTGTAAGGGAAGCTCTCAACCATCTCGCCTGAGTCTACAAACCTGTGGAAACAGAGAAGTATAAGTTAAGTTACAGAGAATTAGACTTTAAATTGCAACATCTGTAAAGGTTAAATACACAAGTTAACCTTAACATAGCACCCCACAGCTGTAATGGCGTCCTGAGCAGGGAATTAAGTCACATCCTTTGTGTGTGTTGAAATGCAAGCTCTTCTGTCCAGTCCGAGCGAACATTCATCTTTGTACAAATGCGTGTGTATTTAACTGCATTTCACTCCCTCCCCATGAAACCATTTGCCTTCTGCACGTTAATAAAGCAAATGGCTCAGGCTCCTTGGTTCAAACACTGCAAGGCTCGGCTATGCTAATGATGCTAGCCATGCTAACTGGCTGCTAGCTGTTGTGCATGCACTCTTAGAATGCTGCATTTTTAAAAATGTCCATCACAAGCATCTCACAAGGAGGCTCAGACTCTGACGAGCACAATCCACAGATTTTCGTTGTAATTTTCGTCCTGGACTCAGGTGTGCTTCAATTCCACAGTCCGCTGTTTCATGTGTAGTTTGCAGTAATAGAAACACTTTCATATGAGATTTTCATATATACGACACATTGACAGACGCTGTGTTGCGATCAACTTTTGGAGAAAACGCAAAGTGAGAAAACCACAAAGTACATTTTGACACCTGAGCTCTGTTAGAGGTCATTATTCACCATATTTATATTCCCTGTTTCAAATCTAGCTGGAGATCTGTGTTCCATGTCATCCCTTTTATTAAACATTAATTTATGACCAACCGTCTTCATTTTGTACATATACAACTAATGGCACGTAACGTACACAGTGAATAATGAGCACATTCTCTACAAAAGCATTTGAATAATCACAAACTTCTCTCCCGATTAGTTTTTTCAGTGAGAAAAGATACAGTTCAGTATTTGGTGAAGATTCCAGTTATATGTGGGGGGAAAAAAAGCTACATCAACATTTAACAACGTGTTTTTCTGAAGAAAGGTGTGAACCTTACCTAGACTTCATGCCAGGCTTAATCTCCACAGTTTTGTCAGAGCTGGCCACCACTCGCACAAACACCTCACCGGCCTCTGGGTGGTTCTGCCTTTTCAAGTACTTATTAACTCTGTCTTCAATGTATGTTCCCAACCTTGTGGACTGCAAACCTTTACAAACACAGAAGAATACATTTTTAAAAACTTAGGTGATAAAGACAGTTAAGTTTAATGTCAGAGTATTTTCGATATGTGTAACTTACGTCTGGCTGCAAACTTGTTTTCCTTTCTTGTTTTACTAGACTTCTTTAGACAGTTGTCACAGATAAAACTAGTGGAATAGAGATGAAAATCTTGTTTAGTGTCCCCACACATCAACTCCAAAAAACAAAGAGATATAGTAAGAAACATGGACTGTGTATGCTTATATACTGAACAGTTATACAAAGACTCACCCTGATGGCCAAATGATTTCATGGTGCAGCACGCAGATCTGATGCATCTTTCGTCCACAGTCTTTACATTCAACGAACCTGCAACGACAAACATTTGCTTAATCAGTGTGTCCTTTAAACACTGCTGAAGAAGCACCACTGCCATCAGATGAATAGATGAAGCTATACGGTACTCACGGTTCCGCGTCCAACATGTCATTTTTCTTCTTTTCAAACTGATCTTTTAATATCTTGCTGCATGAAAGAGACATAAAGAGACAAGTGAGTTCATGATGGCTCCTTTAAATGAAAGTCCAGAGAGAAAACAGACTGATCATCTCACATGATGATCACCATGAAGAGCTCAGCCACCCGGGCTTGATAACTTACGTCTGTGGCTGTGCCGGGTCGTCTCCCAGGGTCACACTGTTGCCCTGGATCTCATTGAAGCACTTTTCACAGAAGTGATACCTGTCGGCAATAAGGCCATATTTGGGTGAACTGCAGCCAGCACACACAGTAGCAGCAAAGGCAAAACGGCGTACAGGTGGAAGGATGCAGAGTGAACGGAGCATGATAACCAAGGATGGAGCATGGGCAGTGGACAGACAGAGAGACACATACATACACACGCACGCACAGGTATGTTAGTCGCAGTGTAAATGGTCATGATCCAATTGCTCTCATTCAAACTGGAAAGAAAATTGGGGAAGCATGCTAGAATCTTAAAGACAGTATATGATTGTGACCAACACATTGGACAAATCATTTCACTGCATTCATGTGTAATATCAGCAGCATTAGGGCTGTATCGATTCTCGAACCAAAACCGCGGTCCAGACGTCCACGGTTTCAGTTTGTGATACGCAAAGACCGAACCATGACACGTCTCCCTGCCCAACTCCACACACTGCCACAGCAGCAGGTGCAGCCTGTTGAGTGTGCGTCTAATCACACCCAGCTTCAGAACACAGAAGCGAGTAGTATCCTAAGAGGAATGAGTGTGGAGGTCAGAGAGGATCGTCTATTATACCTTTACACAAGTGTTGTAAAGTCTGAGTGTTTTCACCATTCGGGAGCAGACGCCTCGTCTCTGAACTCTGGACGCTAAGACTGTGTGAGACACACTCAGACACCATCTTTCCTATTCTTTGATTAGTTTTGTTTACGTAGTTTTACGTGAAGTCAAGTCCAACATGTTCTTTAGTGTTCTTCTCTTTACTGTTCTAAATGTTGGTGTTTTAATAAAACTCAGAAATTCCCCCACTCGCTTTTTGTTACGCACCCACTACACCCCGCCCCCCAAAAAACAAGGTTCGAACCGAACCGTGGAGTCAGCGAATCGTTACAGCCCTCAGCAACCTGCATTTTGAACAGATGAATGAATGAATGATATGGTCATGCCAAAGATGAAGAGCCTGGACACACACATACAAATGAGTGAGTCTTTCAGGGAAAGTGACTTGATTATTTTTATGGAAGAAAATTATTTTTCAGCTCTAATATTTTAGACAGTGAGATTAGGATTTGAGCAAATGATAAAACCTTGCTTGGATCATCTTAGAGTTCTCATAATCACTGATTTTTTTGTTGCATCTTAAGCAAGCGTGTGTGATAACTTAACGTTGTTGCGTTGGAATGATATTGAGTTGCAATGGCAGTTTCTGCACAGCAGGGGGAGCTTTGGTGCCAGTTATAAGACAACACCAAACCCAATCATGCACATTCTGCTCAGCCACAACATACAACTCTCAGTGCCGTCTGTGACACCCCTGTAAAGGAACGATGCAGCTTTGGGACAGGTGTATGTCAAGTCATGTTTTATCTTGACGCAACAGCCCCCCAGCTCATGATCACCCCTAACCCACATTTGACAAATTTCTACCCCAGAGCAGACTCAGCATGCACTTTTACCTGTTCTGGTAGCTGTAGTAGGTGCCATCCCTGGAGATGGTACACAACTGTTTGCCATAGCAACACAGCGTCTGGGGTGAGAACTCGTACTGTGGAGACACATTAGTGAAACGTGTCATTGTGATTATTGGTGGCTTAGGGGGAAAAAAAACTGTTCTGTGCTCTTTTCATGCATTTTTTCTGCTGAGTTCCCATCCTGTGTTGGCTCACCTTCCTGCCGCAGCAGTAGCCCAGGCCCTGCATGACGGGGTCAATCTCGGCTTCAAACACTTCTGCCAGTTTGGTGCAGTACTTGTAAACACGGGATGTTTTACGGTTGTACAACCAGGCATTGTTGAACATGAGCCACACGTCGTCCACATACTGCCAAGGCTCCTGGTACTGACCAGTGTCCAGCTTACGCTTGATGGTGGATAAGTCGATGGGATTCTTCACAATGTCAAAGTAGTCCTGTAGAGCATGAGACAGGAATGAGCAAATTCTAATAATTATGTCCGTGAAATACAGGTATGTGTGTATTTGATTTTGGATACTCACAGGGATGCCCAGTAGCGTGGGGTCTACAGGTTGTCTGAAGGGCAGTGACTCTGGATCTTGCCTGTAGAGGGCCTCAAGTGTCGGCATTAGGGCTTGTCTCAGCTCCTCTGGCTTGAAAACTGGACAGACAATAATGTTTTAACAAACCAAACACCAACACAATTCTAGAGTCTGCAAAAACAAGATGTTCATTCGCATTTAAGGATGCTAATGCAAAGCAACCAGCTCCATCAACCTGTACGCTGGTGAACGCATAAAAAACACAAATGCTGTTACAGGATACGTGAGTGGTCCAAAGGTCTGATCACCATGTACTTACAGTCAATCCTCAGTTTGCACACAAATTCAATTTCACTCCCTTTTTAACAGATTAAATGGCAACTTCTACTTTAACGAATATGTATGTGAATTCACTTGATACACTGGTCCCTTCTCTCTCATTTAATGAATCGTCAATCACTCAATATATATACGGATGAGATCTGTGGACTTACTTTTTTTGCGGTTCTGAGTTGTGGAGGCGGTTGAACTGCTGTTGGCCCCGTTTTCCTCCTCTTCTTTGGGTTCTGCCTTCACCACCGGCTTCTTCTCCTCAGTTTCCATTGGTTCCTGCTTTGGCTCTAATGCCTCTGGCTCCTCCTTCTTCACCAGTGGGGGTTTGGTTTCATCATCCGGCTACATAAACACAACCATGGTTAAACAGCTATACGAAGATGCTGCGCCATAAAAGTATGCAGGTATTTAGTTTACTTAGAAGCACAACACTTTCATATAGGATAAGGAAAAATCAAGTCACATGTGCTTTTTGGGAGATGATATTTGCAATAGTAGCCGGGGGTTGAAATAGAAAAAATGGTTTCTAGTCTAATCTACAGAAGACAAGCGTGTGCTTCTTTCCATTCCTTGTATTAACCATCGCTTTCTTACGTAATAATTATAAGATAACCTTGTACAATCATGTGCATACCTCCATTTTTATATTAGTCTGCTTCTTCCCAGAGTTGCTGTCATCGTCTTCATCTTTTACTTCAGGTTTGGCTTCGGTGCCGCTCATGTCAGACAGAGCCTGCTGGGAGCTCAGCTCAGCCACAGAACCTGGGGTGGGCGCTCGGTTATCTATACTGGCTGCTGCCTGTAGAGGGAGAGGACATTCTGATCACAGCGCTGATCATTTATAAATAAGGTTGTATCGACTTTACTGAGGACCACTGAAGAATCATTAATAATGAATTGTCAGAGATCCTTTCTGAATGAAATACAGACACAGATTTCTTAAAAAGCAAACTCAACAGGAGGTGGCCTAGACATACGTGAAACAAGAGATACAGAGCTTTGCTGTTAAAACTATTATCTCACCGGTGTACTGGGGTGCTGTGCCTGCACTGAGGTGGGCTGCTGCATTTGGCTGGGGGGTTCAGGTTGGGGCTGCAGGGGCGTGAGCGGCTGGGATGGGTCAGGGGGTGTACCCATAACTGAGGGGGGACCAGGGATGCTGGGTATGTGGGTTGGGGTACGGGAGGGCCCACCTGTGGAGGCAGGGGTAGAGGGCTGGGATGGCACCTGGGACTGCGCAGGAGCATGGTGTTGATGCAACTGCTGCTGCTGCTGCTGCTGCTGCTGTAGGCCAGCAGAAGCATTATGTGGAGGAGTTGCACCCCTGGTGGGCTGGGCTGCAGGGCCACAAGGCATCTGTGAGCCAAGGGAGCCCAGTGCATTCAGAGGGAGGTTAGAGTTCTGAGGCTTCTGGAACAAAGAGGGACGCACAGTTAGCGCTACAGAATGCACCATTCATACAGCAGCCCACATGCTGAAACTAGTTAGAAAATGCAAAGTCCACTAAACTTGATAGGAACATACAAAATGTCAATGTTTTCCTCAGGACCACAAAGGTTTCCTCACCTGAGTCACAGCAGCCTGTGTTATAGACTGGCCCAAGCCTACATTCACATTCATTCCTCCACCTGCAGCTGCAGGAAACTGGCCCTGTGGCAGGAACTGGCTCTGGTTAGATGGCTGAGCAACCATGTTATTCGCATGACCACCCATCATTCCTTGTGTCTGAGGCATCCTTGATGGGGACATGCCCATCTGGAAACCAGAGAAGAGATTTAACAGAGGAATCATGGCAACAGGGGGCATCTCGTATTCAATGCCTGCCAAGAAAAATAAACTAAGGAATGCAGAATACATGCATGTCTACAAACAGTTGGAGTAACATTAAATGGCTTTAAGCCAGGCCTTAGTTTCATTTAAGGTTTCCTGGGCCAGTCAGCAGGCTGGTTTGTAAACAGATCAAGACCTGTGTCACATTTGATACTGATGCTTTCTGGTCAAAATGGAACAAACTGAGTGAGGAATAAATGATCAGTCAAGGAGGCATTTGACAGCCCAAAGAAATGAACAAATTAAGGAAAGCACCAAAGAAGAACAAAATGGAGGAAGGAACAAAACCACAGACGAAAAGAACAAATTTAAGAAAGAAACCGAAACGTTAAGCAGAACTACAGATTGATACAGAGAGAAAAAAGAAATCGAACCGGGGGGACGGAGCTCATGTTCATCTGCTGTGGATGGTTCATGGGGGAGGGAGCACGTGCTCCCATGGGTGCCTGAGACATCTGCGCATTCTGCATTGCCATTGGGTTAAATTGATTGATTCCTGCGGGAACACACAGACACACACACAATTATAAACTTGTTTACTATTCCTAAGAGTTGTTGTAATTTAACAACTCTTAGTTGCCCTACTGGACTGGCAGCAGAACTAAAGCAGCTTACTTGAATCAGAGTTATAATAAATTAATGTGTTATCTGGTTAAACAATCAGATGTGTACATGAAACAGCATTTAAAAGTCAAACTACTACAAATTACTTTACTTAAAAATGAGAATCTTAGCTGAAAAAGGACATTTGAATGGGTTCTCACTGAAAACACTGGCTGAGAAATCAGAGGGTGAGCACATACCTTGGGGCATACGATTCATTAACTGATTTGGCATGTTGGGCATAGGCACAGGTCCATCTGCAATAAGACAGGATAGTGCAGTGCTCATTTAAAAGTTGTTCTCAGTAGTAGAAAATCATTTGGAAAGCATCCTACGAGTTATAATATATGATTAATTGTAACAACTGATAACTGTCAACCAGCATGAAAGAAGTTGAGCTACTAACTGGGAGGCCGGACAGCCTGTCCTGGTCCCATGGTGTTGGGCTGAGCCATACCAGGCTGCGGAGGCCCAGCTGTGCCCACCATGCCGGGCTGTTTCTGGAGCCGTGAGCGCCTCTTCTCCTCCAGTTCCTTCTGGATCTTGTAGATTTTTTCTGCCAGGAAGTGGTAATACTCGTCCTAATAAGAAAATAAAAGGAAACAAAAATAAGCAAGATATAAAAATAATTTTTTTAATCGTATCTCTTAGTCCCTGCTTCAACAAGAAAAGGCCTTACTCATAATACTGTGAAGCGTATATTATATTAGTTACCCTGCTGTTAGCCGACTCATACATGTCACCCTCAACCTTGCGTGCATATGCCACTAGGTTCTCCATCCGTCGGTCCTTCAGTGCTGCAGGGTCTGGGGTGGGGAATATGGCTTGTACTCTGGAGAAAGACAGCAGACAAAACGTTAAACTCAACGACAACCTAGAGCATCAAGTTCTACTCTATTTGTATATGACAGAACTTGAGTATTTATAATTCACTGGCTTCATGGTTGAACTCACAGTTTGTGCACCAGGTGAGTGCGCAGGTCCTGAGTGACGTGTTCATGCCAGGCCTTCCTTACCCCCGATGCAGAGAGAGGGGTGGCAGCGGGCAGGTTTCCCATGCCTCCTGCTACTGACCCATCTGGCATCAGCTGACTGCACGACAGAGAGAAACTATTACTGAAGAACAAAGTAAGTCTTAGGACTCATTATCCTGACTTATTCCCAGTCTTTATATTAAAATGCAGGATTTATTCTATTCTATAAGGTCATATCAATATTTACAAGATGATTGTAGAAGTGTACATCTATCAGGAAAGGTATTCAAGATAGAGGCTGCATGGATCTAGCTTTGTGTGTGTTTTTAAGGATTAAAGGAGACTGCTCACTTGTTGAGTGTGGAGGATAGAGAGGAGTCGGAGTGCATGCCAGTCTGGTCTGAAGAGGGGACACCCATGCCTCCTGCCATCTGGTTCATCTGATTAGTGCCTGATAAACACACATCGTCAGTTACATGGGTTTACAAGAAAATGGCTTAGCAACAGATTTGTTACTACTTACACACAATCTCCTAAAAAAAATCCCATCTATCCCTTACCTAGTGCGTTCATATTTCGCAGCTGCTGGTGTGGGTTTTGTTGAGCTGGACCCTGTCCCGGGACCTGCGCAGGGGACTGGTTCCCATACGGCAGGCCCAGGGCAGCATAGGCCCTCTGCATGGAGCTGGGGTCAATGTGCGTGGCCGCACTGTTGATGGCTGTGGCACTGGGCTGGCCAGGTCCAACTGTGCTGATGGCATTCTGCAGGCCAGCCCCAGGTGAACTTAGCATGGCTGGATAAGAAAACAAAATGAATAAGGGGGCTTGGAAAATGAAATCAAACATTTAATGAATAGTCTAAAATAGCAAAGGAGTAACTGCTGCTTCTGGAGTTTCAATTTCTTAATATCAAAACATATGTAAATAATTAACCCCAAATATTTATCATTAGTGAGTGGTTATCTAAAATACTTAGATGATACGTTTTTAAATAACTGTATAAGGAGCAACAATTATAAACATGACTGTGTTTTTTGTTAAAAAATTGTCTTCTAGAGCCACCATCTGAAAACCCTTCCGCTGCTCCCTGCTGTGTGCTGCGCATGCTGCCTCTGTGGGGGATTTAAACCCGTCACTGGGCCTTTTAACCAATCAGAGGGCAAGTAGTCCCTAGACCCTGCCCCCACAGATAGCAGAGCCAGAGAGCCCCTCCCCTCGGTGTCACATTACAAGTCCGGCCTTTTTAGAGGAATCCTCTTGCTGTTCCAGCTCTCACAGTGAGCGAGCCAGCACAGAGCTGTGGCAAGGAAACACAACCTGCAGGTGGCACCACTTCATACATACGTGCACAAATGCACTGACTGGAGGCCAGCTGCTGAGTGACAGCTGCCTTGTGTACAGGTTTTAATGACTCAATTACCATGACCATGAAGATGTTTCAATCAGGAATTATAGATGATGGTTTTGTGTTGTCTTAGTGACCCATGTGCATTTTTTTATGAATTTACAAATGAATAAAACAAGAGAAGGGAAGCTGCTGGAGCTACTCACGCTGCTGGTTCCTCTTGTCACTTGCGTTTTTCAAAGGAAGGCAGACCGGGCAGTCGTGCCGCGTACAGTTCTTCCAGTGGGAGATGATCTGTCTGGATGATGCACAGTGAGCCACTGGAGGAAAAAAAAAAAGATTATCTACACCTTGTAAAATCATAAAGACGTCCTTACTTTTATGAGTAGGTAAAGTTACAGTCTAGATGACTGCAAACCTATCAACACCTTTAACTGTGCTATGTAAAGCAATCGGCCCTTCACTAAAGGCTCTGATTACAGTTACTCACAACATGCATGGTGCAGTTATTTCACCTGTGTGAAAAATCGAACTAATGAAGGACAAAATATTTATCGGTGACAACACGGTCACACAGAAGAGTGTCAATCTTCAGTTAGCACATTAGTAGATACACTTAACACCTTGTGGACACATATGCACACTGTAAAACTGGAGTCAGTCGACCCAGACAATTGGATCCATGCTTGAGTTGACCCAGGACTCTCATTTTCACTCACCCTGGCAGGACTTGCCAGCCTGGCAATGGGTCATGTGGTTGAGGACGTTCTTCATGGTGCGGCAGTGGGGCAAAGTGCAGGCCCTCACCTCCCCGTTAGCCTGCTCCCGCCGCTGGCACTTATGTGCATGGAGCAACAGGACCAGCTGCTGCTGAATGAGTTTGCGCTTCTCAGGGTCGGCTGTTGGGCCTACTGACACTCCTCCAGCCCCGGGGACCATGCCCACTGATGCTACCTGCTGCATCTGAGACTGCAAAAGAATGCCAATACACATATAGGTAAGGCACGGATCAGAATATCAGACCATCTTCATTGTGCATTTTAAGGTTCAGTGTAGAAACAAAAGTTGAATAATACAAGGAACAGGGGATTTAAAAACTCATGGAATTAAAAGAAGATGTAAAACCACCAAGAAATACCACAAACAAGGAAATCTACTGTATAAAATAAATTCATAAACATTTTTAAAAAAATGAAGGAACCAACTATTCCTAGATTTGCATATAACTCAGATCTGTTTACTTTGTGCTGTGAAAGAATCTCACTCTTCTCTGTCTTCAACTCTTTGTATGGATGTTCAACAAGATCAGAGTCGACCGTCTAACAAAAACAAATACGTCACCCTTAATGAAATATTCAGTTTTGGTTTTGGCTTTTCAAAGCAAAGAAGCAATGCATATAAATGGCTGCAGGAATAACTTAGACAAGCTGTGTGCTGACATTGTGTGCTGGCTCTGTCAGGTTAGTACCTTGCCATCTCACAATCTGATCATCATCAGCAAACATGTATATACTGTATAATTACAGAACTTACGCTGTGTAGTTATTGATTATAATCAAATTTGGCCAATTAATCTAAATATTGCTCTAATATATTTATCATTGAGCCGGACTGTTGCACAATGCACAATTATTGTCTAATAATAATAATGATAATAATAATTTATATAGCACTCAAAATGAAGTTACAAAGTGCTTAACAAATAAAAACCCAAAAGTAAAAAAACACATAAAAATGACGCAAAAAGCTGCGCACACTGACAACACTCACTTCCTTTCAAGAATTATGTACATGCACGGTATTTATACTTATGAGCACATAGATATGCAGCTGATTCTGCTGTTTTCAAGATGCAGTGTGGATTTTCGCACCCAGAGTAAACTTACTGACATAATAAAGACACAAGATTGAAATCCAAATCAATATCTAAACTACAACTTCATTTAAAAATGTATTTAGCATACCTTATTTAAAACACCATATCAAAACAAACTAAGGGTTCTTTATGGCAGCAGGTCAATGTTTCTGTGATACCTCTCTGGCAAAGCTAGAAAACAGGCGCAAAAGGAATGTGTATTGTATCGCTGCAGTATATTTACGGTACCAATGCCTTTGTGCACATTTCAGTTTCTGTTCTGTCTTTACTGGCAGTTGCGACAAGCTGATGTTGTGGATACAGATTCACTTACAGAATGTGTTCTACCCTGACAGACCTGAAACAAAAAAGGACTGGGACAAACAGCCACTGTTTTAGGAGCTTTTAAGATGAGTGACACTCACCATGTTTGGCACACTCCCAGCTCCCTTCAGCTCAGCGGGGAATTGAGGCAGGTTGTTTGAAAGGGCCGTCTTGTTCTGGAGTTGTTGGGCGTTGACCCCCGCTGCCCCCATCTGCTGCACTCCAGCCTGACCATACTGCTGGCCAAATGGAGCACCCGACATCCCCATCTATAGTAAGCACACAGGACAGAGGGTGGTCAGAAGTATATCAGGCAGTGTCACAACGCACAAATTATGTTGTTTTTCCCCCCAGTCTATTTACACATGTGTCTGATGACAATGTTTCTGCACGTGTCGGGGCAAGTGAGAGACAGAAAGAGAGCAAGCAGAGTCAAGAAGGGCTGAGATAATCAATGAGCTGCAGATGTACTATGAAGACAGATTTTACCATTTTAAAAAAAGTATCGACCCTTATCTGGTAGCGTAAGTGTAACAAGTAAATAATCGAATAAACTGTAGCAGGTCAGAGGACGTCAGCTGAGTATACAGTCTTTCGTATGCGGCCCAGGATGCATTTGTGTTCACACTGCTAAAAGAATGTGGCCAAATGCGATCACTTCAGAATGTGGTTTGAGTGATCGGCTCTCAGGACACATAAGGGCACGTTCAGACCTGAACTTGGTGCTTGGCAAATACAAAGTGCATTGTCCCTGGTTTGAGTCCAGCAAGGGACCGTTGTCTTATCTCGATCCCCATGTTTCTCTCCCTTCAGTTTTTGACATCACTCTTAAAGAAATAAAAGCCTCATACCGCTCATGGTTTACTCCAACATCCCTTAAAACTGAACTTATACAAACAGACAGTGGTTGAAGAATGGAGAAGGCATTTCCACAATTTCAAATAATTTTAGACCAATATCATTACAGTATTTTTTTTAAATACAGCACAGATTGTTGTTTTTCACAGTACACTCAGACATTAGCCAGAAAAGACCAAGTTCCTCACTGCATCTTACTTTGGAACAGCTTTGTGATCGAATGTGACGCATTTGACTGCTTACAAAATGTTTGTCTGTAGCCAGCTCACTTTACCAGTGGCCACAAGCAAGTCGTTTCCTCTCTCACTTTCATTCCTGCATAATTGTTTTTTGTCTGACATTTTTCAGACTTCAGTCTTTTTGAGCTCATCCTCTGTGACAGCTGTAATTCCTGGCTGTTTGACAGATTTCCTGCCTGGTTTATTCCTGTAGTGAAGACATCAGTAGATGCAACAAACTTGTGTTCACTCACCATGAATTTATTTCTCTATGGCAGCAGAACATGTGGTGTAACATGTTCTGCTGCCATAGAGAAATACATTTCTGAGACCCCTGCAGGTTAAACTGAAACCATACACTGTAGATTAACTCACTATAAATGGACTTAAAACACTCGCTTACTCTGCGACATGAAGGCTACAAACAACCTATAATGTAGCAACACGGTAGACAAGCTACACTGGAACACAGGAGGTGATGAAAAAACACTCAATAGTTAAGTCCTGAAATATAAAACCGTTGCTATTTTCCCAAATCAAAAAATTCAGAAGAAAATTTTGATTATATCCGGACCAATACAATATGCTCTCTCTCTTTAGTGCTGTTGAGAAATTTCAGCATAGTTTTTTCCCCCGTTCGTAGCACACTGCTTAATTCTTATAATCATTAGGATTAATCTAAAATCAGTTAACATTTTATTGGCTTCAAAATAAGATGAGGCAACTTCCCCTACTTTACTTTTAGGTCCTCCAAAAATCATGTTTTCGTCTCTCAACTGCCCTCAGCGTGCATCTGTCTACTGCCTTTCTCCACAGCGGCCGGAGCGGCAGCCTGCTTCGCTTGGCGGAGGTTCCTCACTGCCAGCAGTGCTCAGACAGACAGAGCAAGCCCAACCCAGCGGAGAGAGAGAGAGAGAGAAAGAGAAACGGTAGGAGACACACATAGAGAAAGACCAGCTTGCTCAACAGCTGAGCAGAGCACTGCGCTGTCTGCTGCCTGCCCCTCCCCCTCCGCTGCACAGAGACACACAGATGCCTGCCTGCAGCCTCACTCCCATTCACACGGCCACATCCTACTCTCCCACTTGATGATCTGCACTTTTACAGAGGAGCGTCACCAGGCTCGAGGACAGCGCTCGCTAACAGGAAGCCTTCAATGGATCCCCTCCTCTTACATGTCCTCTTTCCTCCTCTTCTGTTTCGACTCTCCACCATGCCTCTGCCCCCGCTCACAAACAACACACAAACAGGCTCTGCTAAACATGATTTACGGATCCATTATCAAAGGCCAGAGGCCCGGAGAGAGACAGCATACACCAGGGAGAGTGAGAGAGAATGAGGCAAGAAAGGAAGAGTGAAAACAACAAAATAAAGACTTGAACATGGAAAAGAAAACTATGAGTAAACGACAAGCACCTAACAAAAAAAATCACTTAATTTCAACTTCTGTACATCTTAGATCATTACACTTTATTTAACTGTCAGCTGTCTCATTTGCATGCTCTCGAGGCTTCTATGTGCCCATTCGTCTAGCTGGCATTAAGGAAACAGTGGTAAACTGTAGTGTCTGCTGACAGAGGCACCTAGAGGACATCTATGAATTGTAGCTCCAGAAAATAACTTAGGCTCTACTAAACTTAATGAGTTTCTGCATGGTCATCCATTACATGTCACACCACCCGCCACTACTAGTAAATTCTCAACCTGCGATTAACACTGAATATCTAATATTGGCTATTTCATGTACTGTTTCATCCCGTCTTAGAATTTAGCTTTATAACTATATCTAACACTTCAGAGATTCCCTCCCCATGTGCTTTATCAAAAACAAGGTTCAGATCAATTGATAATACGGTTAAGTAATGGATAGGCCATCACATCACTTGCATCATTTTAGCAATGCATTTCTCAGATGGCAGGTTGCCATGGTAAAGTATCTGTCACTTCTTCTTCCAACCACAGGTTAACATGCATATAGGACTCATATCCAAGTTCAAATCTGACTCTCCTCGACAATCTCCTGCTCTCAAACGCTGACCTGGCATTTCATCGTCATGTAAGGGCAATACTTTTACTACTCCATGAGATTTAAAATAATTCACCTGTACACACAGTAATTACATTCTCTAACATACTGCAATGAATATAGTCAGGTATTCAGGTGTGCTCATTTTATGGGAAATGAGGAGATTTTTTGTTGTGGTGACGTCTGTTGAAATGACTGTAGTGAAATCTCACGTGCTGATTTAACTTTGGTTTCCTGTCAGACCACAAAGACTCTCAGTCACAGGAGGAAACATTTTCTCTTGAGCACATCAAAGTCTGTGGAAATGAAGATATTCACACTAAAATTGAAAAAGCAGCACATCATAAAAGTTGTTCTTCAATCACAAACAAAAACAACTGTGATAGCACCATGACACGGCTCAAGCTTTTGTTGCATGCATATATATATTATCTGTATTGCTTGATGAGTGAGGTATAAGAATGCCGTTATAAACACATCAAGATTCAAGCCCCTCAAATGATCGACTCTTCTTCCTGGGTCTGCTTCCACACTCAACATTTAAGCCATTGTTTTGGTGTCAAAAGTAAAAAAAAAAAATGAAACAAGTTCTTCTACTTAACAACAAAGACTGACACAACATAAGGAAATTGCTGTGAATAAAGTCATTAAAAGGAATAACTGGTCTATTGATTAGGGTAGTATACAGTACAGTAAGAATACACCAGGGATGTCGGGGTTAACAGATTTCAAGATAACCGCGGTTTCATAACGTCACAGTTTCAAAAATTGTAAAAACTATGATATCTAACTATGGCGTCCTGCATCTCTCGAGTCACACATGGTGTGTGCTCCGTGCAGCGAGATCTCCTCCCTTGAGTCATGTCACGTGTGTGTGTGGTGCGCTTGTTTGTGTGATCGAGCCACTTAACTGAAGTGTTAGTTAGGAATTCACCGTGAGAGGAGAAATCCTCTCTTTCTATTAACCATTATAAATGTAGGCGAGGGTTTAATTCACCTGTACTGAGAGGATATAGTATAATAAGGACACAAAGAATGTGAGCTTGAACCAGGAAAGTATGACCGATTACTTTTCACAACTAATCAACACTTCATTCCCAAAACTAAACAACCTCCATTGGTGACACTTCAGAATGAAAGTCCCATACAGATGCAGTGTTTATGATAACAGGAAACACAAATTCACTGACCAACCTTGCACAATAAGGCAACTAAATAAAAAAGCTTAGATAAATTGTTTTTCAATAGCCAAACGTTACACTATGAAAACTAATTTTAGTTCATTAGCTATATATTGCTTGTCGTGTCTTTTCCCTTCTGTAGTATCGATAGTCAGAAAACCATCGAAACCGTGATATTTCCTCTGACAATAATCATGGCACCAAAATTTCATATTGTGACGTCCCTCGCCTACACATTACAAATGCAAGTGAATATTGGAAAAAAACAACAAACCTTGACAAGTTAACATTTTATATATTTGTATATTTTATAACTGTGCCTGAAATGATTGTGCTGTTGACTGATGTACAGTAGTCCAATAGTATGTGTTTAAAAATATGATCTTTCATGCTCCTTTTTGCATTTTGCTGTGCAAACAAGTTTTCACTTGTGGCACTACAGAAGTTGAGGACCTCACCTTCATGTTTCCTGTTTGCTGAGCATTCAACACGTTGTGTGCACCCAACTGTGGCCCTCCTTGGGTGAGTGTCTCTGCCAGCACACTGCCTCCAGCACCCACTTGTGCCCCCTGCAGACTCTGGCCCTGGTACTGCATTCCAGGCCCAGGTCTTCCCCGGCCTGCTGGTCCCAGAGCCCCATTCATCACCTGTCCAGTCTGGCTCACGACCCCGTGACCCTGCCCACTGTTCAACATGGCCTGACTGAAGCCCATGGCTGTGGTTCCATTGCCTTGTCCAGTTGCAGCAACTCCTTTCTGGGTCTGGGGAGACTGGTGATTGGGGGAGCCCTGTCCCAGTGGACTTTTACCAAGTACAGCTCCAAGCTGACTTCCCACCATGCCTCCCTGTTGGGGGCTGGCAGAGTTGAGGCCACCTCCCAAGATAGAAGAACTTCCCGGTCGCAGGAGCTCAGACAGCTGCTTGTGTTTTGCAGCTGCATCTGGAACGATGGAGTTGAGACTAGGACCCCCTCCACCTGGGCCCCCATTGGAGGACATCCCCATCCCCAAGTCCCCATTAGGAATGAGTTCATCTGGAAGGTTGTTTTCCAGGTCGAACAGAGACACAAGATCTGAAAAAGGAAAGAAAGGGAAATAAGAATTAACCATGAACACTTATACATATTCTTCAACCAGCAGCAACTAAAAACTGAACAAACTGCAAACCAACCAAAAATTTACTGATTTTGTGACCAGCTGTCAATACCAAAACAAACCACTCCTAATCAGCATTTAAACGTGATAAGTAAGCATACATTTACTTTAACAATATCTTATTTTAATCCAGTAGCAAATGAAAATTAATCGCTATGACAAGCATTTCAGGAAGATTGCTATTCACACACCGTCAAAACAAGCATGAAAAAGTCTGAGTGAGAGTAACGAGTAAGTTCAATATTCCTGTGTCCCTTACATGATGTTTGATAAAAAGCTTCCCAACTCATGGTACAACGATTTCAATTTCGCTGAGCCACTTCCTGTGGACTTTTACGAATTAAACATTTGTACAGTGATTCCAAAATATCGAGATATATATTGTGTATCATGATACACACAAAAAATACTGCGATATTTGTTATACGCTATATTGCCCAGCCTTAGTCCCAATTCCTGGAGGAAGATTTGTTTTGCTCTCTGCCTGTGGCTGTGTTTGGCGGGGACACTCCCAGCAATGGGCACCTTATATCTAGGGGTAGGGCCATGGCAGAGAAATGGGGACAGGGCACAAATGTCACCATTCTACTGTTTTTACACCACTGAAAAATGGTGTTTATTTCAAACTGGAATTGTCCTGCCCAGCACACTTGTTGGTCACAAGTGTTTAACTTTATTGAACATGATTTATACATTATGGGTTTATAGGAAAATTATTATCAGACAATATATTATTATCAGACCACTATCAGTATCTGTATCAGAAATCTTGTTTTTTTTATTAGATTATGGAAGATCCAATATCTGGTTTCTTTCTAATAATTTCACAAAGGTCCCCCTGCGATTTGTTACTTTTAATGGGCATATGCACAAATGGCAACCATGCATCTGCACAAAATTACACAGTTTAGCACCTGCTGAAACTCCAAAGCAGTTTGTACTACAAAAAAGTGCACAGGAACAGCTTTAGCTCTGTAGCTTAGAGCACTCTTGTGGCTGTGCAGGAAAGGTAAACAGAAGACTTAACACACACGCAGAACATTAATGAAGGTTACAGTCCAAATCACGCGTCTGTGCCAAGGTCCTTCACATACAGGTGTGAATGTGCCTCAGTGTGTCAGCCAATGAAGATTTTACCAGCACAGCAGCCACACCCCCACACACGCCTAACCCAGTGTTTAGGGCCAGTGGGTTTTTTATCTCTGGAAAGAAACACAGAGTGCTCCTCAATGCAATACGGTGGAAATTAATATGATTTTGAACATTACAGACTTTTAATCAAACGCCTTTTAGTGCTTAAAGTAAGTGTCAAGAGTTGACAGCAAGCACCTGTGCCTCACCTAAGGGCCATTCAGCAACAAGATTAAAAGCAAACATATATAAAGGTAAGAAGTTTTGAAGGAAGATATTTCATATCTGATTTCAAATTCAAAAACAAGCAATGGCAAGACTACAGCTGTTTTCAGACATATCCTGAGGGTACAATCCGGAGAATTGGCGATGGAGTTTACCCAGAATTTGTCTTTCACACATGCACAACAAAGCGGGAGATCTCTGCACAGACGCATTCAAAACAGCAACAAATCCTCTGCATTATTCAGGCGAGAGGTGGAGCTGCTGGGTGCAGCTGACAGAGGCAGGAAGTGACGTATTAACTTAGCTGCGTAGATGACAGGATTCTCTTGACAACAAACAGACATGAGTGTCCGCTCTTATCACCAAAAACTTTCTTGACATCTTTGTCAGTGTCTTCTACGTGTGTGTCATAGTGATGTCAGGATTAACTGATTTTACGATAACAGCGGTTTCATAAGCATAAGACTTGTAAAAGCGACGATACCTAACCATGGTGCCCTGCCTCTCGTGAGTCATATCATTTGTGTGTGCGTGGTGAGCTTGTGTGTGCGAGCCACTGAAACGTCAACGGTAACAGCCTTATTTCCACCAACACCGGACAAAAAAACTCAGAGAAGTTCACAGCAAGGTTTACTTTTGGTTTCTGACCAGCCCCAAAGGAGCGGCTGACACACGCACACACACACACTCACTCACACCCCCCCGCTCTCTCTCGACCTATTAACCATTATAATCTAGCCGAGGGTTTAATTCACCTGTACTGAGAGGCAATAGTATAATAAGGACACCAAGAATGTGAGCTTGAACCAGGACAGTATGCCCGTTTACTTTTCACAACTAGTCAACACAGAACAGCTTCTGTTGGTGACCCTTCACAATAAAAGTCCCAGACAGATATACTGGTTATGATTACAGGAAACACAAATTCACTGACTAACCTTCCATAATAAGGAAAATAGGAATAAAAGAAAATAGCTTACATAAATTACTTTTACCTAGCCCAACGTTACACTATAAAAACTAACTAGATATAGTTTAGGATAATAATAAATATTTTAGTTCATTAGCTATATATTGCTTGTTGTGTCTTTTTCCTTCGATAGTATCGATAATCTTGATATTCGTGAAACCGTGATATTTCCTCTGACAATCGTGGCACCAAAATTTCATATGGTGACATCAACAAACAATAAGATAAAGAGTGATCAAGTGATTCACATTAATCGTTTTATTACTAGTGTTGTGATTATCTGAATGTTTTTACCATTGCTTAATTGTAGTACTGAGTGCAGCTCTCTTTGCATCTCTCACACCGTGTCTCTCTCCCACACAAACACATTCACAACTCATGCATAGTCAGACTGGCCATTCATGAAGTTTTTAGCATCCCTAGTAGGCGGGCGAAGCTCAGTTCCCCTTTAATTGTGTACATTCCCACAACAGGTATGCAGTACTCATCAGGCAGACCTTAACATAACACCTGCGCTTTCTATGTACCACTTTGTTTGATTCCCATTACAGCCAGGGCTGTGCAAAAACACCAAGTCTTTATTTAGCACATGCACAGAATGAACACCTAGCAGACAGTAACAGGATTTTTAATGACACAAAGTGCACTGGATTAAAATCCCTTACTCCACCTTGAAAAGGGGGGGGATAGACTGGACCCAAAAACCTAGCTGAAGGAGTCCGTGCCTTCAGCATGGTGAGTTTCGTCCAAAGGCTGAGAGTATGATTTGAATTCACTCATTATACAACAAGAATATGATGAACATATCCATTTGACAAGTAGTGACAATAGAAGAAGCCACTAACTAGATAATCCCAACACTTGAGTCACACTATTCCCACCTGAAGAGGACACTGCTGCTGCCGGTTGTAATTCGCCCCAAAGCCTTTCCGAGCCTTTCAGCAGGCATGTGAAAATGTTAAATTACACTCTCCAGTGTAGGAGATAATAACAGGCTATGTAGAGTCCCAGAGTCAGATGGATAGAGATGAAAAGCATACGATTTTGCCCCGCTCTCTTTCAATAAAATGGGTCGCCAACCAAGGATAGCAGTGTCAAAGGGCCGTACAGATCAGAATTATAAAGAACCAGACTAAAAATATGGATAAGGTATATTTTTGAGCAATTCAAGCACAATAAAATGCATTAAAAGGTATTCATACCAAGAGACCACATGAAATGCTTGAGACAAAAATTACAAAGCTACATCGGGGTGAGAAAATCAATTATTTAGGGCATCTATGAAGAATGAAGTGAAATTCTGTAAGATTGTGTGAGTACTCCCTTCATGCATGGTGCCTGATTGTATAACTGAAGGAAGGCTACTTAATGTTTTGCCATGTGCAACAATCGAAAAGCAAAATGAATGGATGACACAATTTGAATCATACCTTTTATGACGTGTTTAGGCACAACGACATGTATCTGAGGAAGGATTTAATATTGATATTTTTACAGATTTTGTCATTTTGGTTCATTTGGTGGCATTAGTGTGAGAAATCTTTGTCATTAGAAAACAATGATTCCATTCATGTCTCAATACAGCCACATTTTAATTATTCTTTGCCTCTGATCAAATTTATGAGACACAATTGAATTTCTAAAACTTCTACATGTCCTTATTGTTCAGCACTGTGTCCCAATGCAGCAAGCATACATTTTTTATTTAGATCTTTTTCATGAGAATAAAAAATGTATAAATAAATTAGTAGCACGTCAAAGAATACCTGCAATTGATAAAATTATTAGAATTTAATTAAGTTTTTATAACCACACATTTGATTTGCAGTACATTTGTTAAATATTTACTATGGTGCTTTATAAGAAAAGTTATAACTACTTCAAGATGTGCTAAATTAGCAGCACACTGCACTCGTAAAGCTGGGGCTGCAGTCATTTGCTGCACCATGTTTATGTAAACCACAGCCATTCAGAAACAATGGCAAGAAAAAGATTTGGGCAGGGCTACACAATCTCAGAAGCTGAGAAAGTTTTTTTTTTATTCAGTTGCAGACAGATGTAAAATAATTAGCTCAGTGTTGTTCAAGAGGAAAGAAGCATGCTGCGGATGTGTGCGATATGAAGGGTAAGGACAGAGGGAGGAATAGACGTACAGAAGGCTAACGGGCAGGGTTGGCTTGTTGGCATCCCATGCAACCCATCCTTCTCAGCATCTCAATCAGTTCCACCCCAGCTGAGACAATAGCCACCAGATCTAGCGCATCTTCTGCCAATGCTTTGCCATGCTGTTGAAAGGCATTACATTTTAACGGTTGACCGTGTTTGAACATGTGCTGATGTAGCTGAATAATGCTCACCCAGGGGTTGGCAATCATACACATAAGCCAGACAGAGGAAACCCCGCTAGGTAAGCAGTAGCATTAGAGAGTGGCTGCCCATTTCTCACCTCTTGCACTGACACGCCACTCAGGCTTACAAATGACAACAAGCCTGACACTTGTCTGTGGCCACAGGGGCAAACACAGACTGACACCAGACCAGGGAACCATAAAAAACTGAGACATATTAACATAAGCATCAAAGACTAGCTGC